AAAAACATTATTCAATTTGATTCGTCGAATATTCGATATTTTGAATGAATATTTGAATATTTTAAAAAAAATAAAATGTTCCGTAAACATGTTAAATACCTACAAATAATTTTAAATAATATGAAAAAATCGAATTATTCGATCGAATAATGTATAAAAAATTATTCTTAGAATAATATATTCGTTTTCGATTCATCGAATAATTTTATTATTAGTTAAATACGAATCGAATAATTCTTTTTAGATATAGTGAATTGATAAGAAATTTGAATGTAAATTTTTAAGTCAATGTTATGGCTAATTCTCTAAGATTGCTCGTAAGATGGGTAATTTTTCTTCCTATCTCCTTCAGGAAAATAGGTAACTCGTTTCCGAAGCTTCCTAGAACAGAAACGAATTTAATATTGTTTAGCTCAGAATATTTTTATGTTATTTCCGCCACCGTATGAGAGTTTTCGTGGGTGTTAGATATGGTATTTAAATTTTTATACGATTATCATAATTTTGTTTATTTAATTGATAATGCATTTATTTATCACAATTTAAAGGAAGGGGTTACCAGAAAAATAATTTAATGATTACAAATTGGAGAAGATCCAAAAGAAATTATCATTGTGGAATAAAAATTATAATATATCAATATAATTAAATGACTATATGATTTTATAATGACGAATACTCAAAATTTTAATTTTGAAAGTTTTTTGTAAAAATTCTGATGTATATCTTCAATTTTTCGGTAACCATTCTTCTGTAATCGGAATTGAATAATAAGTTAAAATAAAGAGTACAACCAAAATATATATATTCTAACGCTATTAAGATGACATAAGTATTAAGTAGAAAGTTTTTAGAATACTTTGCATCCAAAATATCTATTAACATTTGAAACACTGATTTTGGTAGCAAAAGAAATATAAATTGAAATGTCAAGATTGTTAATGTTTTTATGTGTTGCTTATTTTCGAATAACTTTTTAGAGTGCCATCTGTTAGAGGAATTCATTCCAGAAGGTTCAATATTTAGTAATATACTAATGACTCCTTTATTTAGAACTTCGGTTAACTTTGTTCCATTCTCAGTTAAATTATAATTTTGAATAAGGGTGGGATCATTCCCAATTGAATCGAAAAAATGAGAATTTTTAAAATTGTCAACATTAAAATCTTCCTTAGTTTCATTAGTAGATAGGCCTATGACATGCTTACTATTGAATGATTTATAAATTTTATCGGCAACCTTCATGCCTCTTTTGATAATTATAATTTTGCAAATAATCATTAGGCAAAAGGGTATTAGCACAGCAAAAACTTCTCTGCAGATTTGGTAAGTTATCCACAAATACTTAGAACTAGTGTCCTGAGGTTCAAATTTTCGGTAGCGATAATAATAGATATAATTTTCTGTGTAAATTTTATTTCCTCCCATCATTTGTTTTGTACATAATTTTGTTTTATACAAAGTAAACCACTTGTAAATAGGAAAATACCATATGATCGAGTATATGACACTCAAGAGCATTGCAATTCTGACTCTTTTAATATTAACTAACAAGTTATAGTTGAACGGGAATATAACTGCTATTAGTTGATTAGCGAAGAAGAGTAAATAAATAAAGAAACCAAAATTTAACAACGATTTCGTTATGGGATAATGATAATGTGCCGAATATGATTTCCAACCTTTAGAATTCCAGATAGGATTTTCTGGATGTTCACTCGCATAAATTTTGAGCAAGGGTGAAATTATCAAGCCAAGAACATTCATAAAATTTATTAAGAAAAACCATTTTAATAAATACTGATTAGCATTAAAACTACACTTTATTCTTTTGAAGGAGAATTCACTACTATTTCCACACCTTGTATTTATTGACAACGAATTTTGATGTTCTAATGGCGGGTTAAATACATTCGACGATTTTTTCCAAAACCATTTTCCAAATGATCGCTTCGTGGTTTTAATTAGCAAATTCTTGACACATTTAATGAAAACCTTAAGATGAGCGCATGAATCAATGATTACGCTTGTATTATATACCATAATTGCTCCGAATAAATTTCCGAAGAGTCCCGTAATCAAAATGAGTATAGAGAAAATTTTAATGTACCAGTTTATGTTGGGGTTGTCAAGTAGTAACCCTAGTGATGAAGAGTTAGAACAAAGTTGCTGCTCTTCCATATACTGTGAATTGATCAATATAAGATTTATATTTATTAATTATTTACAATGCGTCTTCTCTAATAATTTTTTAAAAAATTCAATTAAAGCAAAAAAACTAAATGAAATGAAATCATTTATTTTTATTTATAAATAATCCGATATATTTCAAATTTTAGCTTTATTTATCTCTTAATTTATTTTTTTAAATTTGGAGCTTTTAAAAATAATTATTATAATATCACTTATAAATAAAATTTATAATGTATATTTTGTTTTAAAAGTCGATAATATAATGCAAACAAAGTATGACGGCGGGCACGTCAATTAAATAATACCCACCTCCCCCTCCCACGATGTATTTTTTTAAAAAAATATATAATTCTCAATTTCATAGCTGGCAAAACTGATATATAAATCAAAGGTATCATTTGCACGACCCGGCTCGAATTTTTTAAAAATATATTACATTTATTTTTAATTTTTATAGCTAATAACGATACGGGCAGAGCCGGGTCTGACATTAAGATGTTTTCAGAATTATTGCTTTCAAAAGTTTGGTCAATCTCACGCTTAAGTGTGTGGTTGGTTTCATAGTTTTTGATTATATATCGGTTTCCATACGTAGATAGTTTATATCACTAAGAAGATCTAATGCTTCCAGGGTGATTATGGAGTGCCTTTCTTATTATTCGTGAATTAAGGTTTTCTTTTCTTGAATAATTTCTATATAGCGAAACGGGTGGTAGCTAGTAGAAAAGAATATGTAAGCCACAATCGTTCCATTTATTTGACGCTGTACCAGTTTAAAAATATGCAGTACAGATAGCTGCCTAAGGACGGGAAAATTCTTGTTTTTAGAAAATAACTACAATTTTTTTAAAATTGCTTGTTTCCAATTTATATTATACCTAGAAATAGATAGTTTTTTTCGGAGGTCGAAGATGGCTGGAATATGAAGGGGTCGAGACTCATGGCTTTTTAAAATCTATGTTATTAGCCCTCATAAATAATAAAAGAATTGAATTTATATTTCGACATAAATTATTCTCTACTAAGGGAATGATAATTTTTTTGAGTAAACATCATTTGTTTTTGTACAAAATTATCAATTATGCTGATTAGTTAAAAACAAAAAGGATTTGTTTTGATTTTATTAAATTATAAGATTTTTATGATTAATTTTTTAAATACATTACTTTGCTTTTATAAGCCAAAGGAAATTGTCTAGGCTTCAAAATAGCAAGCCTAAAATTATTATAGAAAGTGAAGCAAAAAAAAGCCCTTAAAAAATCATCAGTGGTTATCCTTAAAATATAATATAAATAAACCTAAATTAATATTAATACTTTGAATTAGTTTTTTTTAAATTAAATATTTCCTATTATATTTTTGTTGTTAATTTAGATTTTTATATAAAAAAAATTTGAAGATAAGCGTTTAAAAAAATGATTTTTTTTTTCCTTTTCTAAATGCCGGGCCGTATCTAATTTTTTTTTAAATATACCCGGGCCGAGCCGTATATTTTAAAACCAAATATTTTAATTCGTCATTATTAACTATAAAAATAAAAAATATATTTTTAATAAATTCAGGCCGGGATGTGCAAACAGTACCTTAGCAAGTCTCTGCTAAATATCATTAAAATAATTTTAAGGCACTATTCACCCTTAAAAATTTTCCTATTGATTTGTATCGACATTTTTTTGTTGCAACATCTATAATGGAATATGGGGGTCAAATAAGCTCTATCTTCCTCGCCCGGCGTCAGATTGTATTTACATTTTCTAGTTTGCATTTCCATCGATCGAGTTACTGGTGAGGCTGATTGATACCATGATGGGTTCTACTACTAATATCCAAATGCATATGCCCTTCGCATTATTGTTACAAAAAAATGCTGAATGCATTTAATTATTTATATGTCCTATAAAATTGAATTTCAAAATATATTCCTGTTTTCCGTTATAATCTAAAAATAACAAAAAAAATCCCGTATTTTCTATATTCATTATTTTATAGCTCCTTTTCCTCTCCAGCCCAAATAATTTTATTTTCCATCATTTTTGTTATTGTTTATCTGTCTGTAAATTAAAATTATATTATTTGTGTAATAAATAAAATTTAAGATCATTAAAAATTTATGCATAAAATTTTGCCGGACAAATTGATAAAGTCAAGAAATTTATAAATAAAAGAAATTAATATGATTAATACTATTTTCTGGCCTTCGGCCGGGTTAGTTGGCAGGATTACTAAGTCTCCTCCCCCATTAACTGGGAATTCCCGCAATTTTTTTTCATACAGATCTCTATAGTGAATATTGCGCCATTTAAATCTCGCATAGTAGCCTTGTATAATTTTAAAATTCAAGTAAACTATCAATTTTATTATTCTCTTTAAATAAGGATATTCAAAGTTAAAATATCAATTTAAAAAAATATTTTATACAGTAGATAAAAAATCTTCTTCGATATTGCTGATTTTTTAAAATGTCTTTTAATAAAGAAATTTTTTTTAGAAAATATTTTAAAAATTGTCTCGTAAAATAATTTCCTTAGATATTTAAATAATAATAATTCTCGAACCTGTGCACCTTTCAAATGAAAAGGCCCCACTCCCGCGTGGTATATCCCTTATCCCATGGACGGACGATCTCCCGCTGACTTGGGACTGTACTTTTATTGATTTTGCAGTTAAGTCTAACCTCTCATTTTCTTCCATCGAAAAGACAAAAGTCTTAAGAAAGACAAATATAGCCTCACAAACATAGTGTTCACACCAATCATTACTAATACCTTATGCATGTTCGGGAATATGGCCTTTATTTTATTTAAAAGACAGATTACAGACGACCCCAACAAAGGATTCTACCTTCGCCAGCTTCACTCCTATCTAGGGTGATATATTTACCCTTTTTTAAAGTTTATTTTAATACTTTTAATATAAAAAATTTTTTTTAAAAAAAATATTTCATTTTGATATCGTTATATTTTTAATTATTTCTAAATTGAAACCGTTTTTTAATTAAAATTATTCACAGAATTAAAAAAAAATATAAATAATAATAATAATATTTAAAAAAAATTTCTTGGAAAAAATTAGTGATCTTAGAATGGGAATAATTGAGATTATATATATTACATTTATAATCCTAATTTGCATATCAAATAAATATAAATTATTAACGTCTCTGATTACAAATTTAAAAACATAAAACAGGTAACTAAAAAATCAGATCAATGAATATATTATTTTTTATAATAAATAAAACTGATCTATCACAAAAAAATAAATTTAAATTAGAATAGTATTCAAAAATTTTTTTTACTAGATCCCGAATACTAAACATTCTGGAGCATGTTGATTTGTCATCAGCTGATGGCTTAAGGCATCCATGTAGCGCAAATTAGAATCCGGTTGTTTTATATCTTTTTGGTATTGCAATCGAAATAAAAAAAAATCATAATTATCTGAATTATTTTATTTTTTTCGTTCAATTGTTTCTATCATTAAAAACATAGACTTATTAAAATAAATGTTCAAAATGGCGACATTTTGAGTGATGTTATTTTTAATCTTTGAGCAATCTATGTTATAAAGTTATGGCTGCGATAGACCAGTTTCTATTAGGAAATTCTTTCAAAAATCTTTTGGCTTCTTAATTTATTCTCTTAAATTTTATTTAAACTTAAATCATCTTGACTAAAACTTATTTTTTTTATTACCCTCTCCTTAAATGTAAAATTTAATAAAAAATAAAATAATGAATTCTTACATGTTGGAAAGTTGGAAATAACTTGAGACAGACTCTATTGATAGAATTATTATGTATATTTATTCATCGCCACCTAAAATAAAAGTTTATTTGAAGCAGGGATGTGAACCCTTCGACAAAAAAAAGGGTCCGGGTTCAGGTCCGGTAATAAATTTAAAAAGGACCCGGGTCCAGGGTTGGGGTTCAGAGGAAATATAAAAATAAGACTTTTTTCCATTCATTTTTTATTATACTTCAATATATACACATTTATAATTCGAAATGAGATAATTTATATTTATTTTATTCAATCGCACAATCATGATATCTTCTAAAATATCATCCTTCAGATTTCCACGTAAATTAGTCAACGATGAAAATCCACGTTCTACACTTACCTAAAATAAATAGTCATTTTTATAATACATAAATTATTGTACTTGTGTCGCCGGTACAGCCATGACGATTCTAGAAAAGGTATATAATTCTGGATATATTGAAGAATTTTTCTCCCAGAATTTTAAAATGTTTGCATCTCTATTTATTCTCATAACTTCCGAGAACTTTTCTATTAAAGATACAATAGATATTTTTTGCTCCTTTCTATCAGATGATAATTTAATTTTTTTTTCTCTATCTAATAGTAAAATTTTCAGATCATCAATATCGTTATCATTATAATTGTTATCGCTACAACCAGTAGATATTGTTGTAACCACCAATGTATTGTAAATATTAGAGTTTTGGGTATGCCATAAATCTTTAAGATGGTCTATAGCCATTTGTTTTTGCTCACTACTTAATAAAACCTGATATCGCGGGTCTAAATATATAGAAGCATATACAACACTATTTTGTAAATATTGTTGCTCTCTTATTTTCTAATACTTCATTTGAAAAAGAACTTGTTAATCTCCCTAACTCTAATCGACATCTTAACCATATGCCATAAAAATCCGATAAACATAATTGTTCTGCTTGCACTCTTAATGTTGTTATTTTTAAAGGAACCAGCTCACTAGTAAGCTCTTTTACTTGATTCCAATCATCTTCTGACAAAATGATTTCACATGCTCCTATGATAAAATCATTACAGAAATCTTTCAAACTTAATAATCGCTCTAGCATCATACATATAGAGGACCAACGTGTTGTGCAATCTAAAATTGCCATTTACCTTTTCATGGATTTTAATATTCTAACAATTGTGGGAGTTCTTAAATATTTTACAACATCCCTTACTTTATCAATTATAGTTTTAAAGTGACTATTTTTTAGGGAGATTCCACGAAAAAATTAATAAAATTATAAAAATTTTACATTATTTTTTAAAAATTATAAAAATTTTACATAATTTTTTAAAAATTAATAAAATAATAAAAATTTTATATTATTTTTTAAAAATTAATAAAATTATAAAAATTTTATATTATTTTTTAAAAATTATATTTTTACATTAATTTAAAAAAAAAAATTTAAGTTAAAAATTTTTATCACCCTGAACCCTTGGACCCTCTACTTTTTAAAAGGGTCCGGGTCAGGGTTCAGCCAAAATACGAGGGTCCAGGAGGGTCCGGGTTCACATCCCTGATTTGAAGGCCATAATCTAATCAAGATATATATTAAGTTGCATTTTATTTAATTTGTAAAAAATATTATAAAAAAGTTAAAATACTATCGAATCTAAAAATTATAAATAATTTAACCATACTTTCATAGATTTGGTATCAGCACATCAACCCTTTTACATATATGCGTTTAATTTCAGAAATAATTTATTGCGTATACCTTCAGCATCTATTAAATTTCTAGAAATTGTCGTAGGATATGGAATGATGCTTACATCAATATTTCCATATATTGAGCCAATTTCTACAAAAAGTGGAGATTACCAGCCAGCTTAATAGAAATGATTCACGAAAACAAGGAAATTTGCGATGGAGGGGAGGGGGTGAAAATCCCCCCTTCCTTTTGGTTACGCATCTGAAGTTAATACTATTTTATCTTCATTATTTTGAATATTTTTTTGATGTTGAATCATCATACTATTTTATTTACACAATTTATTATTAATATGAACTATAAAGATATAAAATATATTAATAAATATATCCAAACCAAACCTGAAATGTTAACTTTCTTTTCTTTCAAAACTATCCCGGCAATAACAAATATAATCGGTAAAAATATAATAGTTTTCTAATAAGTAAATTTCACGGACAGAAAACCCCCCTAAAATATTTTGCTAATTATGATCTGAAAAACCTTTACAAATTTCTCACCTACCCATTTCCCTATAAACCCAGGGGTCATTAGTTAGCTTAAATGGCTCTAGAATTCTTATAGATAGGCTAGAAGCCCTAAACTAAATCTATTCGATAACTTAATTCATTTGTTATGAATAAATGTGTTATAATTTTTTTCATAAACTTTTAATATCACTTTTATTTTGTTAGTAATATTTTAATTAGCGCGGGATTAATTTTTTACTTTCACTAGTAAAAAAAATTCACACTTTTTTACGCCCGCTGCGAAATTATTTTTAACTCCACCCGCCCGCTGACGAATTACAATATTTTATTTACGCCCGAAAAATTCACGTTGTATTTAATTACTTTTTTAAATTTCTCAAAACTTTAATGTTACTTATTTCTACTCCTTTTTTCCATTAAATCCTGCTTTTTTTATTTTTTTTTAATGAACAAAATAATTACCATTTAACAATTAAAATTTTTATTTAAAAAGGAGAATGTTTTATATTTTAATTGTGTTCGTTATTCCCTTAATTACCAATTGGCTATACAAAATAACCTTTCACTGGAATACGAATTTGTTGGGTCCATAAAAATTTTAAAAAAGGAAATAAATTTTCCTAATCTAAAACGTCAAAATTTCTTGATTACTATTTGTTTTTTGACCGATGAATCTTTTTTAGTTCGTTCTCAACACTTTCCTTTATATGTTGACACATCATCAGAATCAGAAAAAATAATTTAAGAATTTTCTAAATGTTTCAAAACAAAACGAAGTTTATTTATGGGTTGAGATTATCCAAAGATACAATTTATTAATATATAAATAACATCATTTCTCATTGCTTTATAACCCCGGTCTCCCCTACTAATAAGCATTCATGATCAGTATCTCCAAAATGTTGGTTATAATTTTTTATATCTTGGTTTTTTTTGAGGTTCGTAAAACTGACTAAGGAATTAATAACTACTAGTCAGGCACTAAATATTAATCAAAACTGATATAATATTCCTTAATATATTCTATTTCTCACTGTTGCCAATTTTATATAATTTAGCTTAAAACATTAATATCACAAAAAATGCTTTCAGTTGCTTCTTAATCGTAGTGATGACGAGATTTTGTTCACAATGACAGAAAGGTTTGGTATTGGCTTATTTTCGAATGACATTGGTTCAAATATAAATTGTAAATAAAAATCATGGTTAAGATCTTAATCTAGGCTTTTAATGACATTGGTTCAAATATAAATTGTAAATAAAAATCAATAAATATCAGTTATCGGCTTTATAGAAATATAGGATTAACGCGGTGATGGATCAGTCTAGCCCTACATATAAGAATATTTATAAATGAATGAGAAATATTTGATTTTTATAGATTAAATTTTCGTATAATTTAATATAAAATAAATAATTTAACATTATGAGAAACCAAAATGGCATAACCAGATTTGTATTGATACACATCTTAATGAATGAATCTAGTTTAGGTTGTATGTGATGAGCCATTGGCCCCCTTCCCCTCAATAACTCTCCTCTTTTCCACCACAATACCACTCTCCTCTTTTCCACCACAATACCACTCTCCTCCTTTCCACCACAATACCACTCAAGTGTTAAAAGTAATTTATCTAACCTAGATTGACCGATTTATTACTCAGGCCTGCCCTCACCACAAACATTTAAATTAGAAATATAAGAAGACTCGCTCAATTCTTTTAAAAAATATATATTTCTGCCAACATATATATACCTTAAAATTTAGGGATCTTGTGTCTAGTCTATAATTGTGTGTAATTATCAAAATAATGGTTTTTATTAACCAAATGGGAAATGAATTGAAAATATTTTTTGGTAAACGCTTTTTTTAAAAAATTTTTTTAATTTA